GTTTTCAAATCCCTCTTGAGCTAGAGTGCCATTTTTAGCTTGGCTAGGTCAGAATGACACGGAACGCTATGAGTGATGACACACTAGGCAGCTATCTGGACAGAGATGTCATCAGCAAGCCAGCTGTGCTAACACCTGTATGTCCTGCAAAATTGATCCTTGGGAACACAGATCAAGAAAATCAGGTTGCTGGGGATCTAAACAAAGAAGATGCTTAAAGTATTTGCAAAATAGCTCCCTAAACAGCAAATGGGATTATTCAAAGGAAGGGGCAGAAAAGAATCTCTCAATGCAAGCAGCATGAGTCTATGAAGATAAAACAAGCGACGTAAATGTCCCCCCCCCCCCCATTGGGATAATCTTAAGAATTAACGACAAAATATGCTTTCAAAATGTTGGGAAATGCTTGGTGTTTTCCTGTTTTCCTGTACCCCCTGGCCTCCTTTCACTTGTGGCAGGTGGCAAGTTGGTAGGCAAAGCCAAGAATAGGTTCAATCGCCTAAGAACAGCCTCCAAAATCTGTCACTCTCCTGCCAAGGCTGTTTGAACACTGCATTTGTATTTCCAGCCCAAGTAAAAACAAGGTCATAACTCTAAAAAAAAGTAAGGCACAATAAGAGGAATACCTAATTACAAAGGCATTAAGCTAGCATGCTATACCAATAAACAGTGAATAAAAATAAGCACATCTGTGCATAATCCCAAATAAATAAAGTTCCCTGGTCCTTTTATTTAAACATTTTAATTCACTTAAAAATTGTATTGATTTGGATGTTCTGATCTATCTGTATTCACTATGGATAATTCAAGTTCTCAACACTGCTTCAAGGTTCAATACACCACTAAAGATACAAGTGGCACAAAATGAATACTAAAATAACACAACAGTGCCTCCATACTGAGCATCAGAAGTAGCACCAAGCAACATTTCGGTTGATACAGCTACAATTGGTGCTGACCATTATGATGAAGGCATTACAATAAACAAGCCTGAATTATGTGGTGTGAAAATCAGCAGAATTCTCGGAATATTCTCGGCTAGAGAGCAGGAATCTTGGGTTTTTAAATGAGTTGTTATACCTGGTTCTTCAGATGAAAAAACAAACCGCCATCTTAAGTAGATATAAGACTTCACTACAAAAGACAAACGCAAGTGTCATATTCTTTTCTGTGTTTTAATTTATGAGTGGGTGGTGCCTCCTTATTTCAGACTGTGGCAAGTAACTTTTTCAAAGATGGACAAATAAAAATTATCTTTAGGAAACTAGATCAGGGCTGTCAAACTCCCAGCCCATGGGCCAGATGCATCACGCCCACGCCCGGTTTAGCGAAGGGGAAAAAATGTCCCAATACATCATGTGATGCCGCCGTGACAGCGTGAGTTTGACACTGCTGAACTAGATCAAGTGTAATGTGGGGATCACTGTTCATGAACCTATTTTCCCTCCTTTACATGCATAAATAAGGTGTTTCCCAACAAATATAAAATCCAACACATACTTCCACTTTATTTTCCATACTTCTCCTAGTGATACACTATGAGGTTTTATGTTAGGAAAAATGATCTGAGCCAAACAGATGTTACTTTCAGCAGATATTCCGAATTACGTCAACTGTGAGAACTGATACAAAATCTCAGTTTGCTTTACAGGCCATAAAACCACTAAGATTTGGTACAAATCACATACATACAGTCCTCAACTTCCGACCCCAAAATTTATGTTGTTGAGAATTTGTTACGTGGGGTTTGCCCCACTTTATGACATTTCTTGCAACAGTTGTTAAGTGAATTATTGCATTTGATAAGTTAATAACCTGGTTGTTAACTGAATCTGGCTTCCCCATTGACTTTGCTTGTTAGGAAATTGGAAAAAGTAATCATATGAACCCAGGACACTGCAATGGTCATAAGTATGAACCGGTTGCCAAGCATCTGAATTTTGATCACATGATCATGGGGTTGCTGCAAAAGCTGTAACTGTGAACAATGATCATAAATCACTTTTTTCAGTGCTGTTCTAACTTTGAACAGTCTTTAAATAAACTATTCTAAGTCGAGGACTACCTGTACTAGTTAAATTTAAGACTACTGCTGTTCTTCCATCCATCCAGTTACTTGTTGAATACTAATCAACTTTTGTAAGATGATGCACATTTACTTTTGAGTAGGTTTATTGCAGGGGTCTTCAAACTTGACAGCTTTAAGACTTGTGGACTTCAACTCCCAGAATTCCTCCACAGTCATATTAGCTCAGGAATTTGGGGAGTTGAAGTCTTGCCAAGTTTGAAGACCTTTGGTTTATTGGTTTTGATTAGGGGTGATCTTCAAAAATGTTAGCAATAGGTTCTCTGCCTGATTGTTGGGTGGACGTGGCCATGGTGGGCTTGGCCTAGTTAGTCTCCTGCACCACAGCGGTGGGGGGAATGTTTTTGCCATCCCTGGGCTCTGGAGGCTTTCCTGGAGCCTCTGGGAGGGCAAAAACGGCCTCCCCAGGCTCCAGAGGCTCTCTGAAAACCATAAACGGACCCGTTTCTGGCCTTCCTGAACTTCTGGGAGGCCCATTTTTCACCCTCCCCGAGCCTCCGCACATGCCCTACTCTTACCTGCTGGGTGGGCGAGGCCAGCCAGGAGTGGCATTTGTGGGGTTGTCCAAACCGTGAAGAATCTTAGCTAGAGGATCTGCCAAACCCCTGCGAATCCCCAACAGCCCACCCCTGGCTTTGATGAAATTTTCTTTCAAATTAATCACACCTTTAACTACAGTGAAGAAAAAATGTCTGAAATCTATCATACAAATCTCAATATCAGAAATTTGGAACACCTTTCTTCAGGAGACAATTGAAATTTGCTTGCTGTCCTATGTTTGAAAAAGAAATTGCTTGGATAGAATGAAAAAAGGGATGAGACTGAAAAAAATAAACAGTCTTCTTGAGAACGTTAGGTTGATTTAGGCTTTGTTTTTAGACGGTACACTAGAAGTTTCAATGACACTCTATTGTTTATATGTGTTTATTATATGTATTTATTATTACAGAAAGACTGTGAGTTCAAGTCCTGCCTTAGCCATGAAAGCCAGCTGGGTTGCCTTGGACCAGTCACTCTCTGTCTCTCTCAGCCCAACTTACCTCACAGGGTTGCTGTTGTTATTGGGGTGGGTAGACAGACAGACGGACAGATATAGGAATTTAGAGATAAAGAAATAGACACAGACAGACAGGATGCATCAGCAATGATCTAAGCTGTAGAGAAGAAACTGCATGACGGCTTTCAACAATATAACTCAACCTAGTAACCTCCAAACTACTGGAATGTCAGTTCCCAGAATCCATAGCCAGCATGATTATTTGGTTGGGTACTCAGAATTCAGAGAGAGGTAAACTGAAGGCTGGATTAGAATCAGGGAAGAGAAGGAAAGGTCACCAAATCCAAAGAGAATGAGAAACTCATCCTCAACTGAATAGTTTGGCAAAATAGATTAATGTTCATTTCACTTGAAAATATAAGCCACTGTGTTAAAATAAGCATTGTAAGACTCTGCTAAGAGGACTAAGACATTTTAAATAGTTATTTGAGCTCCCCAAATTCTAGCACAGCTCATCTTAGAGGGCAAATAATTAAAGAATTGGTCTGAGATTATTTCTGAAGTATGCCTTCTTAATGTTCTCTTTTGGCTTTTCATTTACATGTGATACAGAATTGATCACATGTAAATATTAAAACAAATAACAGAGCATATGCCAATGCACTTGTGCACAGGGACATGGTAGATTGGCTACTCTGGCTCCCTCAAGGTGGGGCCCCTAAGGCCTTCCACTACAATCTGTGTGAGATGTGGGGGAGTGGTATTACATCATATCCCTTTGTGTGTGCACATGAGCAAAAGTATAAATGCGTGCTCCTGTATTGGAAAGAACCACAAATTCTCTTCTGAACACTAAAGACTGAAAGTAATTTGCTCATTTCCACCGGTGATATGATGAAACTGACAGCAACATTACTGATCCAAAACTCAGAGATATGTTACTGTTGCCATTCTCAACATCACATGCCTTTGTATTTGATCCAATTTATTTAACTTAAAAGAATGGAGTCATTTAAAGAACAACCATTTGGAAAATATCTGTTGCATGCTCTTATTTTTCATCTTTGTGTTTATGTGCGACAGTGTTTGTGAGACAGAAGAAGCAACATGGTCAAAATATCAGCATCAGCTATTGCTATAGATTAGATTAGTTCATTCTTTTGCTTTTTGCTAACTTTACTAGGTCAGTGTTTTTCTATATATAAATAAAAATCTATGAGTGTGACATTTGTATTATTTAATTCCCTTGCATTCTGCTCCATTCCGTTCCATTCCTTTCCTTCCTTCATTTTTGTTTTTAATATGGCTGGAAATATTTAAAAGATTTACCAAAGCATACAAAATCTGCACTGTGATGGTTTTTTAAAAAAATGAAACATAAATGAAATATAAAGTCTCTCTCTCTCTCTCTCTCTCTCTCTCTCTCTCTCTCTCTCTCTCTCACACACACACACACACACACACACACACACAGAGAGAGAGAGAGAGAGAGAGAGAGAGAGAGAGAGAGAGAGAGAGA